TATGATATTGAGGTATGTCAGAAGACTAAGTGAAAGCCTCTGCTTCATATATTTTTTATTCCACTCTATAATATTTTCCATGCAATGTTAGGCTGAAGTTTTGCTTTTTATATTTTCTTCCCTTATCTTATAAATGTAAACAAAGCCAGTAGTTACAATTTTCTTTGACCTCCAAATCCAGAGGAACATGCCTACAGGGTCACTCCTGCCAGCAGTTCTTATATTTCTACTGCATTGTCTCCCTCCCGTAAAGTAGATCTTTTTAAAAATTCAGTCTGGCAAGGAAGGAATTGCTGCTGCCTGCTATGTCTTGGCGCGCATTCAAGCGCACTGTACAGTCTAGGTCAGCTATGGTCCCTGTGGTCCAAAGCTGAATGATTATCTAATTATCTAAAGAGAAGGTACAGCTTTGCACCACTCTGGCTCACAGTCATGTGCTTGGGGAAACAATTTGTGGTGATTAACAATAATCTAAATTCACTTTCAACATCATGCAAGCAGTAACTTCTGCTGTTGTCAATGGATTTATTTCATCTCTCTACAGTGGATGTTTTTTGCAACATCTATTGGTTAATCCTCACATGACACCTTGAGTTCCAAACATATTCCTAAAACCAAGGAATTCATATTCCCATTTTATTTGGCCCTTTATGTTTGCATGGTTTCTTTAGCTGTCTCTGTCAAAAGCAGTCAAAACCCTCAAAAGCCAGGTTGTTCTTTCACTTTCTTTAGAGTTTTTTTCTAGAGGGAAAAAACAGTTAAAGGCACACTTTAAGAGCACAGGAGCAGTCCTGTAGTTCATTAAATTGTTACAGGGCTTGAGGCTTGTACCACTGAAGAGGTCTGTCTCTTTGTATACTCTATTTAATAATAATAATAATAATAATAATACACTTTATTTCTAGAGCACCCTTCATACAAAGAGCAGCTCAAAATGCTTTACATACCAAGCATAAAAATAAAATCTTAAAATTGAGAGATACTGTATACTTTCAGTTGTAAAGGAAATCACAGTAAAACAACATAAATGTCAATGTACTGTATGCGTGAAAAAGAAACAAATAAAAATGAGGAAAGTTGTAATAAAATAAAAACCATAAAAGATCAATTAAAAATGAAGGTTAACCGGAAGAACAAAGAACCATTTAAACTAAAAGATAAATTAAAAAAATATGTTTTCTAAAACAATGTACCGAGCTTGAATGCCTAATAAAGTGGTAATGAGTTCCATAATGTCTCAAAAGCACTACTGGGCTGAGGTGCCATTTCAGGGGTTTCAAGCCTGATGCAGTTTGAGGTCTGTAGCTCATGATTTCTCTGACAATCCTGATTCCCCCATGACTGTTTCTGCCTCAGCTATCATGTCCCTGCTCTTCTCTTCCTGATCCACACCCCTTGTGACAGGCTGTTAATGCCACTTTTCTGGAGGGAGAAAATCAAGAATGAACCTAATCAAACTGGGACATACTTACAGAGGTATTTAGATAAACAACCACATTTGAATTCAAGTTCTTTGAGTCCAAATGTCCTGAAGTGGAAGGTTTAAGTTTAGATTTTCTTTGAAATGTTCTGAAGCCATAGTAAAAGTCTGTCACATTAATTATTCTGCCATAGTAAGAATGCTGGAAAGTTCTGTAAAATACTTTGGCTGGATCAAAGCTTTTCAGAGTTGGTTCTTTGAAATAATGTGAAATATAGAAAAAACGAGAGTGCTTAAGATATACTTTACAGCTTCTATTAACTGATCATTTTCAAACTTTCAGTGGAGTTGCTGCTATCTCTAGAGACTAAGATGATAGAAATTATAGATCACTTGATCTCTAATCTATAAATCTGCGATTTATGCAGCAGTGAAATTCTCACTGTTGTACAGCACCTGCATTCAGAACTTTAGAGCATCAAAAATCTATAGAAAATGTATTTTAAACCTGGAAATGAAATTAACACCATTCCCATCCCTCTGTAAGTGTCCAGATTATAGTGAGATGTTTGACTACCAGAACACACTTTTTTAAGCATCCATACAGACAAAGAAACCAGAGAACCCACGATACAGAGGTCAGTTTGCCTCGAAAATATTTAAGATCAGCTGTTAGATGTACGGGGTGGAGGAAGTGCCTACTGACGTTGTGCTGGCACCAGGTACACCTGCTTACGAGGTGAAGCACCCCAAAAAAGACAGTTTCCATAGCAACCCTGTCTTCAAACCCCTCGACTGATACAACCTTTCTCCTGTGTCTTGTCGCTCCTTCAAGGCTGCTCTCTTTACTAATTAATCTCGATACCCTTATATGTTCATTACCGGTGTCACGAGCAGTTGTTAGATTCATACTTATTCTCGTCAAATCCCTTAGGTCTGACCGCAGGGACCAGCTTGAACAGGAAAAGCAGAGCCGTCCTGTGAAGGAGGATGTAGGCCTTAATTGCTGGCCTGGTGCAGCTCTCATTAAAAAGTATGTGTGTCCTTGCTAATTTGTGTGATACCTTTTGTCCATTTCCTCACTGTAGCCACAGGGTTACCCTTACACATTTGCACATGCAATGAGCCAGGTCTGACTTAGTGGTAAGATGTAAGTATGACTCCTAGAACATGCAGAGAATTCAGAAGCAATGCTGAAAGGTGTCAGGACTGCCTTAGCAGCACAGGGAATTACAAAGTGAAAGTAGAGACTCTTATACACCTCACGCTGAAGTACTAATGTTCTCCTTCAACACAATGGGGCATGAGACCTGACACTCCTAGCTGCTAACTTCACTGATTTGCTAAAACGTTGGATCACCTATACTTCCGATCCACAGTACTTATCAATCACTTATCCTTTTTTTTGTACTGGACAATGTACAATAGGCAGATTTTGCAAAAATCCTGAGTAAAGAGGAAAGCTAATCACAAAATCTTTTTCTTTTTTTGATAGATTTTGCAGATTTCTTCCTTCAAATTAATTTACTATTACCTGCTTTCTTGCATATACATTTTAGAGGCTGACTGAATTTTGCCAGATGATTCTGTGCAAAACTTTGGAGCTCTGTCCTTGCACTTAGCTCTGTCTAAAGAAAAACATTGTCACAACCTCCACTCCGGAAAAACATCATCAATCCACATCTTTTCAGAAACAAAAGATTTCGGTCACCACAGATGATATTTTCATATACAGTACATGTGTCCACAATGCATTTAAGAGTTGACTTTACTTGCTTTCACTGTCTCTGAGATTCACAAAATGTGATACAGTAAAGGGCTGTAATGACATGGTCAGTTTTTACGAATAAGCATGTCTCACAGGCACGCACTCAACCCAGCTGCAGGAGCTTGGTGATTTACGGAGGCTGACCGAGTTTGTCGGAAAAAAAAGGACAGGGAAGATTCGGAGAATAAGAGAATAGGACTGGATTCGACAGCAGAGGACGTCACAGGGAGGTGGCAGCAGGACGGGGGTCAGGCAAGTTCTGGAAGTCAGGATCAAGACACAGAGATGGGGTTTTCTCTTCTCAATAATCTGGTTGCAGGTAGTGTGTCAGAAGCCTAGGCTGAGCACAGCAGTGGTTTGGCAGCCCAAACAACAGAGCACCTTCCCCATGGTGGTTCTGGTGTTATATAGAGAATCTGGTCTGATTAATCAGATGATGGAGAACAGCCGTGGTCTCCTGTGGCCACCATGGGCCGGGAGCTCCTGCCAGTCCGGGCGTGACAAGGGACAGACAGGATCACACCAGACAGTGGGGCTTCATTTATTGGAAGATCATGTTTTAAGAATAAAAAATGGCTTAAACGGTTAAGAGTTGCATCTGCGATTTAATTTTAAAACCCGAGTGTGGCAGCAAAGCTTGTGTGGGACCGTGATCTCTTTACGGAGCTGCAGATTGACAAGTTCCACTGTATAACAAAGTACTTGAGAGTGCAGGACAATGAATAAAGGCATGATAATCACAGGATTATGTGGGGTCGTGTCTGTATTGTGCTGAACTGAAGGTCTGCTGCAGGGCCTGATCAGAAATGGACTTGCCTGGACTGAGGAAAGTGGAGCGGGTTGAGATGTTGATGTCCTGGAGGTGCTCCAGAGTCTCAGTGTGAAACAGACGGATGAATGAGCCCTCGGAGAACGCCATCCACACGCCGCCACCTGCCCGCGCCATGTGAGCGACGCTCACGGTCTTGTCGTGGTGGGTTTCGAAGCTCTGGCCAAGGAGAGAGTGGTGAACAGATGAAATGGTGACCAGCAGAAAACAAATGGAAATGCAGTTCATTTCGATTGCATGGAATAGATGTATTAATTGCATGGAATCATCTAGCAGGGGAGGCTGTGGAAATGCACTTGCTTGGGCTCCTTTAAGGTACTATCATCAATCAGACAAGCAAGACATGGATCACCTCCTGCAGAGCCCTTGAGATTTTAGTACAATTTTCAACTGTGCTTTATAACATCCGTCTCTTAAATCATCAGACATCTGACTGTTCACTGCACATGTAAAATCCATATTCAGTGTTCTTTCAACCATGTTCTTACAGAAAGAAGGCAAGAAGTTCTATAAAAATATCATTAATACTATTGTACATTGTTGCATTATACATATGGTAAACTTTTTTAAATACTTTGCACAGGTATAAATAGGCCCCCTTTTTAAGCACTATAATACAGAGCTCAGAGTTTCATCCCACACACAGCTAAAAACAGACTGAAGTTCAAGCAAAAGGCACTCAAGAAACTCTGATTGTTTCCTTGGTGACAATGAAGAAAGACCAACTCAAAGAAAACATCTGAAAAGTCATCAGGTAACTGCAGAGAGCCCTTTTGCGACACACATAAAAATCTATTATGTTACTAATTGTTTCCAGCAATTAGCAATGAGGTATTAAAACTAAAGTGTCCAAACGATGAAGTAACAAGCCATCTCTAACTTCATTTCCATTATTTTATTTTTCAGATAATCCACTGGAAAACACACAATTTTTATTCTGGCCCAAATTGTACTTACTATTTATCATTCTTGGTAATAATAGGAAAAAACACAGGACAAGCCTAATGTGCAAATGACCTAGCTGGGATTTGATCCAAGGATCTTTTGATGCTTTAAATTTACTCCACACATTCCAGTTTAACTTTGTGGTTGATAGGTTTTTGGACAACCAGGTCCCAATAAAATCAACATCATTTGGGAAGAAGAAACTGCAGCAGTAAATTATCTTACTTATTTCAGAACTGCTGAATCTCCCAGTTTGACTTTTCTGAGTCAGTATCAGTTAAGTTGTGTTTGAACATGAAATTCTTGAGTAAGTTCTTTTATCTTCTCAAAAATGCCACCAGCCTAACAGTGTTTAAAACAAACATCCCAGCTAAAAACTAGCAGATTGCTCTCATTTAAAGTCAGTTAAATGACTTTTTCAGCACTCACAGTTCTTCAACCATCATTTTCTTTTGGGTACAATGAAGTGGTAGCCATTGATAATGGTGTCAAAAATCGCATGTCATTCTTTAGCAAATGGCTTTTCACCGTAAGATGTTTTTCAAATGCTCTTCCACGATTCACACTCATTTCACGCCTACATCCATTCACCACAAAGAGAAAGGCGTTTCTTGTCACTAAAATCTTTGCTGGGTGAAAAGCTCAGGCAGTTAAACCAGCTGACCAACAGGCTGACCAATTGGCCTGAAAGCCAATGAATTTTATATATACTGCAAGTCAAGATCAAATCAGATTTGTTGAGTTCAGAGTATACTGTGTATTGAAACAAATATGTTTTAATTAACACTGCACAATATACCACATAAATAAAGCAGACAAAACTGCACCTTTTACAGTAGTTTGATCTTGTACTTCTTTTTCGGACTGATGTCACATTTTCAGTTCACTTATACCCTAGATATAAATGACCAGTAGAATAACTTAACAATTCCATTATTTTTAGTAGTACCGTGTGTTTATTAAAATTATTAGGTTGTGTGGTGGATGTCTCATGTTATCTCTATATTAAATGTAATTTGGACATCTTTAGCATTACTGCAAGAAGCAACTATTGTTTAAATGCGACTGTAAAGTATGAGCTGTAAAGAAATGCCCTGATATTGTATCCCACAGCAAGTATTTATCTTTCCCAATACTCTTTATTTTTATTATTTATCTTTCCCAATAATTGCTATGTAAATCAAAGCATGAATAATATCAACTTAACTCTTAACTTTGGAGGGAAATTACACTGCAATTCAAAAATTGCAACTGGAGTTTGCAATTGTATACAGATCCTCCTGTTATGTCTAGGTGTTGTATCAAACTACTCCCTGTGGCTTAAATGCTTTTCTCATGTACTGTTGGAATCATGATATATTGTGTATTAGTTGTACAGTATATAAGCACTGCACAATTAGTAAAGAAACAAAGGCTTGCATTGCTGAATCAATGCAATGCCTGTTTAATGGTAAAGTATACCCATTTTCCATCATCAGTCTCCCACACAGAAATGCGTTTGTCCTAGAATGCTAGACGTTTCCATGTTCCTGCAGCAAATAAAGCTTTACATTGGTGTCAAAGCCAGAACAGTATGGATTCCTTCACATCTACATTGTCATAGAAACAAAAACATCATGACCTTTATCGCTGAACATTCATGCTCCGACTTCTTTGTTACTGGGGAATTAAGAGGTTTGCCTTCCAAGCTTTGTCATTTGCTCCATGGTTTTCAGTGTAAGATATTTTCATCACATCACTATAATAATAATAATAATAATAATAATAAACTTTATTTTATATAGCGCCTTTAAAGGTGGCTTCTCAAAGTGCTTTACAGGATGACAATAACAATAAATAAGAAGACTACAACAATAAATAAGAAGAACACACAAGATAAGACACAATTACAATTACAGCAATACAACAATAACAATAGAGAAGACCGTGGAAGGTGGTACTAGGAAGAGCAGAGGGGTGAAGAATGGAACCAGTTAAGTAAAGGCTTTTCTGAAGAAGAAGGTTTTGAGTCTGGATTTGAAGGAGTTTAGAGAAGGTGACTTTCTGATGTCCTTGGGCAAAGAGTTCCAGAGCTTGGGGGCATAGCAGGAGAAGGCCCTGTCACCCATACAATGTAGACGGGCTTTGGGGACAGTAAGGAGGGCAGAATTTGAAGAGCGGAGGTTGTGAGGTGGGGAGTAGGGCGATAATAGTTCAGACAGGTATTGAGGTGCCAAGCCATGTAGAGCCTTATAGGTGAGCATGAGGATTTTAAAGTCTATGTGTAATTTGACCGGAAGCCAGTGCAAGGACTCCAGGATAATGATAATGCTAAAATGATAATCCCCTCCAATGAGGGGATATCATCTGCCCTTTTCGTATTTTCAGAGAGCATCATGAGCCCTGTTGTGTTGCTTGTCCATTGGACAGTTCTCTAAAGGTGTCGCAGAGCTTTAATATTTAAAGTGCCCCCTGTGTGGGATCTCTGCCAGTTCCTGCAGAATTTAAAATCCCCAAGTCGCAATCTCACACAAAAGAAAATAACCTTGACAATGAAAGTGATGGAAATTGTAAATTAAAGGAAATAGTGTACATGTCGAACAACCCTCATACATTATGATGGAAAGGCATCTCAGTCAAATGTTGTCAGCAAAGTGTCACCACTTCACACACATGCTGTAACTCCATAAAACACATTGAGTATATACAGTACTTCGATGTTTTTAGAGATTTTGTGGGATATGAGGAGCTGGTCAAAAACCCACACTACACAAAATAAAATAAACTGGTGCAAATCATGGACTACAGGGGCATTTACTCTATTGTTTCCAGCTGCGTCCACAAACTGGTTTGTGATTTTCACAGTACAACCCTGTTGATGACAAACGTTGATCAGTATCATGAATTTACCTATGTCATGTCTGTTCAATAACACGTCAGCTACTGTAACGTTTTAACCATTACCCTGATAATATCTTTGTTAATTTGTTATTGTTATAAGGTGCTTAATTTGTACCGGAGCTCACTGACTGCTTGTTTTAATTTCTGCAAAAGAACTTTGCTCCCTTCTCCTGAATACCTTAAAAATTGACTTGACTAACACAATACAGAACAGGACACGGAGCCTTGTACTCTGCTGCACTGAACACTGTACTGTAATCTAACACTGTAGATTGTCAGGAACTGAATGGGACAGATAGCGAATGGATATTGCATTCCATTGTTGCATGCTCAAATATTCAACAACACATTTCCTCAGAAACCATGAGCAAACTGTTTGCAAAGATAATATAGTGCACTCCTAAAAGCTAATTCTAGATGAGGCTAAAAAAAAGTGCCTTGATCGAGTTACACAGCTTTCAGTATTTTTTTAAACCAAAAATGTTTTGAAATATGGCTTTATAAAAAGAATGAAAAATACTAATACAATTCTATAAACTTAAATTAAAAAGATAACATTGTAATAAAAAATAATATGTTAATGTCAATATGGTTGACAGTAGGCTATATACAGTACGTAATGCATGTCTCTTTGATCTGCCCCTCCTGGGATTTGATCACAGTCATTGGCGAGCACAAACACAGGCCCATTCCCTAGACCATAGATGTGTGGTTGAGCAGAGATATGAGGCCATTTATCATGATCATGGGTCACTAAAATGCGTTCTGTTTGTTTTTTTGGTTTTGCCTTTCAGTACTGAAGGCATTTGTCATGTTATCTCAATTGGAAGTTCACGACAGGCCAAGATTACAAGATTAACTACAGTAAGTAAAATACTGCAGCCACATGCTGATGTAGAGACCAGGCCTACTATTCAGTTAGAATAAAATGTCATTAAAACTTTTAAGAATCTTTGCGTGCCTTGACCAAGGTAGCTTGGGCCTCTGTCTAAATGCAGAGGAATGTGGCTAAGAGGACACTCTGATAAGAGAAATCGTAAAGCTGTATCAAAGCTGAACAGTGTAATGATATATAACGCAGTTAGGCTCTAGCCAGTGTACAAGTACATCTGGGCATTATCTTAAAGTCACAGGCCATAGTCAATCATAAAAAGGTAGATCCTCAAATGAGGTACTGTACAAGAATTATACCTGATAGGATCTCAACCAATCGCCATATCGTATCTTAAATGTAAGGGCCCAACTCATTTTTTGCTTGTTAGCCTACTGGCTCTTCTAATCTTTCCAATTAAGTTGGCTATCTGACTTTTCTAACCATGTAACTGCAAGCAGTC